GCACCAGCAGCCGGGGGCGGGGCCCCGATCAGGCGAGGCGGGGGCGCGGGCGCCGCGGTAGGGGCCGCGGCCGCGGGAGGCAACGCCAGTGCCGCAGCCATGCCGGCGAGACAGCCAGCGGCACTGGCAGCCGCAACCAGCGCGCCCAGCGCGGCGACCCGAGCAGGCAGCAGCGCACCAATAGCGAGCGGCGCCGCGGCCGCAACGGCCATCACCACCGCGGCCGGGCGGCTGGTACAGATTAGGTTGGGCACCTCCACAGCTCTGGGCGCCAGAGCCACGCCAAGCCGCAAAGCCAGCACCCTCAGCACCTGGTCCACCCTCCCCAGCGCCGGCACCCTGCGGAAGCCGTGCACGTAGGCGCCCGCCGCCGCAGCGGGATGGGGCCCCATGCGGCCGCCGTCGCAGGTCCGCCACGCCGAAGATATCCTCCTCATAACTGTCGTCGTCCGGCGTGAGGGTGCACACCAGCGTGGCCGAGGGGGGCGCGAGCACGTCGAGCCTCTCGTGCAGCACAATCTGGTGGCCGACGCACTCCACGAGCACGAAGACGCCCTCCTGCAGGCCGTAAGCCGCCAACGGGTGCGGCGGTGCTGCTGCCGCCGCCCTCTCACGCGGCAGTGAGCGGAGGCTTGCGGCTGCGCAGCGCCAGGGCTGGCCGCAGGTCGGGCCAGGGCCAGGCTGGCGTCCAGGGGCGGCGCGGGCTGCGACGCTGGCGCCGGCGCGGCGGACGCCCGCCAGCCGAGGGCCCAGGCGCAGACCCCCGCGGCCGCCGCGGTGCCCAGGCAGGCAAGCGCGACCACGGCGAGGGAGGACGCCCCCAAGGGGGCGGTGCTCGGCGACCGCGCCGCCGGAGCAGACGAGCGGCTGCTCGCGCCTGGGCCGGCACGCCGGGCACGGCGCGCCGGCGGGACACCAGCTGCCCAGCGCCACGCCCCAGGCAGCCCGCGCACGAGGCGCGAGGAAAGCCCGTGGAGCTTCGGAGCATTAGCCAGCAGTGGCCGCGGAGCACCGCCTCGCCTCGCGATGTGGAAGCTCAGTGTTTCACGATTGGCACTCGGACCGCGGGCTCCTGCCGTCGCGTTTCCAGGAGTTCGGGAAAGAGAAATCCAGGAATAGAGACAGAGAGAGAGAGCGCGAGCGACAAACCAGGGGCGGCCAGGCCATATCCCCTGCAGCCTGCATCACAGGGCGTGCACCACATGGACTGCACCACACGGCTTGCACCACGTATTTTGCACAACCTATCTTACACGTCCAGGATTAAAGTACCCACTGTTTGGGATCCTCTCCATCGATGCGTATTCGAGATACCAGTAAACGTGTATGCAACAGAACTGATCGCAAGTCTCTGAACTGCTGTATATGCTGCTCTAGTCTCTGAACTGATCGCAACATTCTTCTATCCCACAAAGAACGCACAACGTGTTCACCCCGGCTACATGAAAACCATGACGACTACGACTACGACAACAGCGAAGACGACGAGCACCACAGCAACCGCGACAACGAAGGCGACAGCGAGCAGCAACGACGGCGGCGGCAACGACGGCCGACGGCGACGACGACGGCGACGGCGACGGCGACGGCGACGACGACGGCGACGACGACGACGACGACGACGACGACGACGGCGACGGCGACGACGTCGGCGACGACGGCCATGGCCTCGTCGCCCACGGCGGTGCCGACGCCGCCCGCGGCTGCGGCGGCCGCCTCCCCCCCGCCGCCCCCGGCGTCCTGGGAGCGCGGCCGAGCCCGCCGCAGCCCACCGCGCCCCTCGGCGACGCCCACGGCGGCGGCGGCGACGGCGACGACGGCGGCGGCGACGGCGAGGACGGCGACGCAGCCAGCAGCGGCGGTGGCAGCGACGATGACGGCGACGGTGACGGCGACGGCGCCCACGCCCGCGCCCACGGCGTCGGCGACGACGACGACGAGAACACCTGATTCGCCCCCATCCTACCTTCTACGTCCTCCTCCTCCTCCTCCTCCTCCTCCTCCTCCTCCTCCGCCTCCTCCTCCTCCTCCTCCTCCTCCTCCTCCTCCCTCCTCCTCCTCACCTCCTCCTCCCTGCTCCCTCCCTCCTCCTCCCTCCTCCCTCCCTCCCTCCCTCCCTCCCTCATCCCCTCCTCCTCCCTCCCTCCCTCCTCTCACACCTCTTCCTCATAGCTACTGTGCCACCTACTCCACTTATCTCCATGAGGCTCCATGGACTCCAATGGACTCCATTGGACTCCACTGCGTAGGATTCTGGTGAATTCCATTGGGCTCCACTGGGCTCCACTGGATTCCATAGGACTCCGTTGAACTCCATTGGCCCCCAACGCTCCCCCTTGGACCCACTCGGCTTCCTATGGACCCCACTGGTCTCCATCGGACTCCTTGGGACTCCATGAGACTCGACTGGGCTCTATTGGCCGCCGTTGGCCTCCATCGGACAACCTCGGCTTGGGCTCAAGCCTGCTTCGCCCTGAGCGCGGACGGGGCCCCCGAGGCCTGCGCCCTTGGCCACCCGGAGGTGCGCCTGCCGGGCCTCTCGGGCACGCAGGACCAAGACGGCGAGCAGACTCCGATGCTTGACGCCCGGAGGCCTCCCACACGGGGCCAAGAGCAGAGGGGGCCGGAGCAGCGCATCGCCTCGCCCATGAGGACCCCCGCCTGGGGCCAAGAGCAGAGGGGCTCGGAGCAGCGCACCGCCCCGTCCCGCCTGGGGCCAAGAGCAGAGGGGGCCGGAGCATCGCACCGCCCCGCCCAGGAGGCCTCCCGCCTGGGGCCAAGAGCAGAGGGGCTCGGAGCAGCGCACCGCCTCGCCCAGGAGGCCTCCCGCCTGGGGCCAAGAGCAGAGGGGCTCGGCGCATCGCCTCGCCCCGCCCGTGCCAATCGGCGGTGCCTCGGCGACGCCGCCGGTGCATCGGCGACGTCGGCGCAGAGAAACGATCGGGATACAGATCGCGGCGCACCGCCGATGCAGCGGCCATGGCGGCGCGATCCGGGGCCCCTGGAGCAGCACACCCGGGTCCTCCTCCTCCTCCTCCGCCTCCGCCTCCGCCTCCTCCTCCTCCTCCCCCTCCCCCTCCTCCTCCTCCTCCTCCTCCTCCTCCTCCTCCTCCTCCTCCTCCTCCTCCTCCTCCTCCTCCGCAAAAGAAAAAGCGAGCACCCCAGGAGGGTGCGAAGGGGAGTCGAAGCACAACCCGTTCCCCCGGGGCCAGCGTGTTCGGTCCGAACGGGTTGATTGACTGTCCTGGGGCCCGTCTGCGATCGCTTACGCAAGTCGGCTTCGCAAAGCCGGTCTATATGGCCAGGCGTGAACAAGTCGACCGGTTTCGTGGAGCACCCGATTGTAGTCGACAAGTGTCTTGACGATTATTTTGAAACCGATGGAATCCTCTCAACGCAAGATGCGAATCAATAGGCTGCCCGAAACACACCAAAGAAAGAGCGGCGTGTTTTCGGACAAAGCACAAGACAGACAACACGTGTTTGGGTAAGACGAAGTCTCATCGACAACGTTTGTCAATGAATTACGTCAGCCTGCATGGGATCCTCCGATCAGTAGAATTGCCCAACACAAAAGCTCTTCGGAATCAATCGGAACCAAGGTGCCAATATGACGTAGTCCCTCTTAAGGCGCTTGCCCGGTCAGCCTTGGGGCCACTTCGGCTCTCTGCGGGACTCTTCGACGCCTCTGTGGATCCTCGTGGGGCCCTCTGGCGGCGCCCCACGCGGGGATCCTTTGGGCCACTTCGGCTATCTGCGGAACTCTTCGACGCCTCTGTGGGTCCTCGTGGGGCCCTCTGGCGGCGCCCCACGCGGGGATCCTTGGGGCCACTTTGGCTCTCTGGGGCGGTGTTCGAGGCCTCTATGGGACCTCTTTGTTTGGTTAATCATCCCGCAACGCGCAGCAAACATACCAAGCAATACGATATGCAAATCAAGGTACAAAGCATAAGTTCCGATCCGACTGACAGGTGCGGTGTGGGCTCTTGCCACAAAGAACACACAAGCTCGGTGTTGCGTGGCCTTCGTGTTTTCCTGCAGAAACACGATGAGACAAGCAGCAAAGTAAGCACAGACAGCAAATGGAGCCTGATCAAATACTCCGAAAAGAACAGTTATTGCGCCGCGAATAACCACCGCTGACGGCCGCCAAGGTTCACCCAAACAGAAAATCCGCCGATCCGGCGTGTGAGTTTCAAGGAGTCTCAGCTACAGCCTCGAGGCTGAGCCTCAGCCTCTGGGGGGGTTGCCGGGGTGGCTCTGCCGGGGAAGGGGGGGGGAGGGGGGGGGGGGTGAGTTTCCGGCGGATGCGTTTTTTGACACCCCTCACAAGGATCGTGGCCTCCGAGGGGGTTCCGAACTCGAGTACCACCCCTCCCGCACCAAGAGGCTCCGAGGAGGCCTCCAAGAGGCCCCAAGGGGCGCAGAAGAGGCCCCCAAGAAGCCCCAAGAGGCTCCCAAGAGACCCCCAAGAGGCCCTCTAGTGGCCCCAAGAGGCCCAAGAGGCCCCCAAGAAGCCCCAAGAGGCGCCCAAGAGGCCCCCAGAAGTCCCAGCCAACCACGAGATCCCAACCAGCATCCATGAGGCCTCTGACCCACCACCCACGCACGGTGGCGGGATAGGCCGACGGCCACTGGATAAATGCTGAGTGAGAGGAGGGGAGGGAAAAAGAGAGGAGGGACGAGGGCGAAGAAGGATCACCTCAGTCGGAGCGCCCCGGATCGGCGGCACTGGCCGAAGGCCACTACAATATCGTCTGCTTCGCTGAGGGTTACTACCAAAACAAGCACACAGCTCTTCACTAGCGCGGGCTGGGACGGCAAGGCCCTGAAGCACTCGCTCGGCACAACAATTCTGCGCCACACAGCGTCTGCAGCGAGTGGATGCCGGCCAGTAAACATCAAACCTCCTGAGCGCGCCAGAATACCATACAACTGGGGCTGGCAAGGGCGCGGCGCTGATCTCTGAAGCATGTCTGGGCGCGAAGATCATCCAAGTCTTATGAACTGAGGTCAGCCCTCACGCCCCACTCGTGCACAAGGATCCACCACGAAAGGCCGACCGAGATAAGGAAATAGCCGATGACGCCCGCCGTGTGGAATACGAGCGCCGCGTAGAGATCACGAAGCTGCGACATCCGAGTCCTGAACATCATGACGTGCAGCAACACCAGCGGCGTGGACATCAGCAAGCAAAACGCCGCGGGCCGCCACATCGCGAAGCCGACGAGGGCGTTGGGGAGCGAATGTGCCACCGTAGCAGCCGCAATGCCCATGAAACCAATCGCGCAGCCAGCCATGAGGAAGCTGGCACCGTTCCCACAGAAGGAGGCGAAGAGCGTGTAGCCGAAACTATCACGAATCCGCCGGCCCCCTTGTGGGGCCACCAGGCTGTAGGCGCGGGTTCGCAGTTTCCTGTACCAGTTGTAGCTTGTAGTTTCCAGTGTTACAGTTCTGCTTCTTGCTGGTTACTGTAACTAGTTGACTTCTTGCGGGTTACTGTAACTAGTTGATTGACCGCGCGAGGGGGGGGGAGGCCCAAACAAGACTTTTAGCGTCCCCTGGGCGCGTTGTCTGAATTGCTGGGGGGGCTCGAAATCGACACCCCTCACGCAGATCCGCGGGGTCAGGGTCCAAAAACACAGGGATTTGCCACATTTCTGAAATTCGGTGCCACCCCTCACGCAGATCCGCGGGGTCAGGGTCCAAAAACACAGGGATTTGCCACATTTCTGAAATTCGGTGCCACCCCTCACGCAGATCCGCGGGGTCAGGGTCCAAAAACACAGAGGATTTGCCACATTTCTGAAATTCGGTGCCACCCCTCACGCAGATCCGCGGGGTCAGGGTCCAAAAACACAGGGGATTTGCCACATTTCTGAAATTCGGTGCCACCCCTCACGCAGATCCGCGGGGTCAGGGTCCAAAAACACATGGGATTTGCCACATTTCTGAAATTCGGTGCCACCCCTCACGCAGATCCGCGGGGTCAGGGTCCAAAAACACATGGGATTTGCCACATTTCTGAAATTCGGTGCCACCCCTCACGCAGATCCGCGGGGTCAGGGTCCAAAAACACAGGGGATTTGCCACATTTCTGAAATTCGGTGCCACCCCTCACGCAGATCCGCGGGGTCAGGGTCCAAAAACACAGGGGATTTGCCACATTTCTGAAATTCGGTGCCACCCCTCACGCACATCCATCGCAAGGCGTGGTAACCCAAACTGCGAGTACTCCCTCGGCCCTTTAATCCCAAGGTGTGGTAACCAAGCTCGTAAACCATACACGTCTTACCAATCGCCCTGTGTGGTAACCCCTCTTGTGATCAGTTGGTTTTGCCGATTGCGAATCGGCCTCGCATGAAGTTCCGATACTGCTGCACGACAGCGCCAAAGCCTCATGACTTAGCTCTTCCATGGCCCATTCTCCGAGAGAGGGGGCCGGCGGCAGGGGGCGAAGCCCTTACGGATCTTCTCCTCGTCCGTCAAGGCCACCCTGGCAACGAAACTCGCGAAGGTGAGCGCGCAGGCGCCTAAGAACAAGGGAAGCACGGCCATCGCGACAGCCTTCGGAGCGAGACGCCCCTGTGCTCTGGTGCACGCGAACCATGTGCGAGATACCACGGTACAGCCGCAGACGGCGCACGCGAGCAGGTTCCCCACCACCGCCCCGGCCCCGATCTCGGGGGCTCGCAGGTGCCACTCCGCGGTGCAGAAGGTGCCCACGAGCGCCGTGAACCACAGGGCCCAGAAAGCCGCACTGAAATACATGGCGCGGGTCGTCAAGAAGACGGCCCGATCGATGCGGTCGTACTCCTTGTCGCCGCCGGCGTCGAGGATCTCCTTCGTGATGCGGACAGTGTCTGCATTAGGGGGGTCCCCTGGCTGAACTGGCTTGCCGCAGGTCGCCTCCCGGGAGCTGCATCTTCCCGCGGAGGCGAAGGTGTGCCCGAGGGCAACGGGAACGCCCGTGCGCTCTCGAGCGACAAAAATCTCGTAGACGCACCAGAGCCGAGTGTAGATGTCGCACTCCCTGTTCGGCACGACCACCATGTGGCCGCTGTACGTCAGCCTCTTGAGGCACTGGCAGGCGAGGGCAGCCGTGAGGAGCAGAAGCCCAGCTCGAGAGCTGCCCGACGTGTCGTCCGGAAGGTCGACCCACTGCCACTCCCACGAGAACATGCGCGCCTCGCCCGAGCCGTCCAACATCACCCTGGTGGCGCAGGCGTCGGCGAGGGGGACGCAGCCGTGCCACAGCGTCGTCAGGTAGAGCGCGATGAGCCCGGCTCCCAGGAGCAGCGGCGGGCAGGTGCAGACAAGCCAGAGCGGCCACCGGAGTGGGCCCAGGCGGCGGCCCCGGTCGCGGATGTGCTTCAGCACTCGGAAGAAGGGGCTGTCAGAGGGCCCTTCGCCCAGCTGCTCCTCGACCGATGGCCCGGACGCGTCCCCGACTTGGTAGAGGGCCAGGGCACATATGAACATCGCGTCGGTGTCGGAGGCGTACCGGATGCAGGTCTCCAGGAATTCCTCGGCGTTCTCAGACCACGCGTGCGAGACCATCAGGTTGACCTCCTTCGGCTGGTCCCTGTTTATCATGAGCGCATATCCTGTGCCCGTGCGCGCGGTGGCTGGCTTGATAAACTTGTCCACCAGGTCGTAAACGTTGTACGTGGCGACCCACCTGTCGTCGCTGCGCAGCTGCAGCAGCAGCTCCTGCAGCTGCGCGCGCGTGATGCCCCAGTGAGGGGCCCAGCACCGCCTGCCGCCCGAGGCCAGCTGAGGCCTGGCCGTGCCCTGGGGATCCACCCTCGCCGAGCGCGCGCCAAACACCGGCAGCAGGCCCCAAAGGCTGGAGAACACCATGGGCTCCTGCACCGGGCGGCGGCGGGCCGCACGCTGGCGAGACCCGACCTCGCCGCGCGGCTCGAGCCAACCAAAAAAAACTTGAGCCCAAACGGCTCCAGTGAGGCCTCTGTGGGCCCTCTTGGGGCCCGCCGGCGGCGCCCCTCGCGGGGATCCTTGGGGCACCTTCGGCCAGGAGGAGGGGAGGAGGCCGAATCCGGTCAGAATCGGTCCCCGCACCGCTCCCGGCAGTGTTTCACCCTGGATCCATATCTGACCCCCTGTGCCCGAAAGCAGCCCCCGGAGGCCGAATGCCGCGTGAAGGGGCAGAGAGCTCTCTGCGCCCTCCCCCTCTCAGCAGCGAACGAGGGGGGGAAGTGAGAAGGAGGCCCTCTCAGCAGGCGGGGGGGCTTCCCTGAAAAGTGTGCTGCGTCTTCCAGGAAGGCTTAGAAAACTTCTCAGAAGGCTGGGGGACGTCCGAAGGCCCGCCCCTTCTCCCTTCCCTCCCTCGCTCGCCGCCCCTCCTCAGCTCCCCGCCCTCTCTCCGCCCCCCCTCTCTCCGTCTTCGGTACAGACAGTTTCGCAGTGCTTCCGGCAACGGTTGCCGCCCAGGGGGGGGGGCTGGGGCCGCGGGAAACCAGAACTTGAGCAGGGACCGACCGTCCCAGCATTTCTACAGGCCTACCACACCAAGTTCTTAGAACCCAAAAAATGCTGAGAACATAAACAATGTCCTTAGAACCTAAGCCCGATGTGCTAAAACGAGACAGCCCCAGTCAGAAATGCTGTAAGAACACTTCGTGCAGACCATAAAAAGGTTCTTAGAACATTGTCTGGTAGGCCTATAAGCGAGCCAAGACGCTTCGCCACTGCTTGAATTCGCCGGCCCAACGGGCCAGGGCGTGCTAAGATCTCCGGTACCTGGTTAACAATATTTCTAGTTCGCGCGCGCGGGGCGGCCCCTGGGGGTCCCCGGACGAAAAGTACCCCGGCAAGGTCCCGGCAAGTCCCCGGCAAGTCCCCGGCAAGGTCCCGGCAAGGTCGGGCCAGAGATGCCGGAGTTCTGTTACAGGGCCCCAGGACGGGCCAAGAGGTCCCCAAGAAGCCTCCAAGACGGTCCAAGAGGGCCCCGAGACGGCCAAAGATCGCCCGACGACGCCCAACAGGGCCCCAAGACAGCCCAAGAGGCCTCCAAGACGCCCCAAGGGCCTTCCAAGAGGCCTCCGAAGAGGACCCCAAGAGGCCAAAATCGTTGATTTTCATTGTTTTTTTCTATGTTTTTCCCGGAAAAGGCGTGGGCCCAGGGTTCTCTTTTAGTTGGTTAACCCCCCGGCCCCCCTGCGACTTGGGCCGGCGAAATTATTTTGCGAGCGGGCACGCACGGAGTAGGGCCGGCGAAATTATTTTTGAGGATGTCTCGAGCGAAACGCTTGTTTTTCAGAATTTGTTGAGGATGTCTCGAGCGAGACGCTGGTTTTGCAGAGTTGGGGATGTCTCGAGCGAAACGCTTGGTTTCAGAATTTGTTGAGGATGTCTCGAGCGACACGCTGGTTTTGCAGAGCCGACCGCGACACGGAAAAGCGCCCCTCGCGCAGGAATTCCAAGGATGTCTCGCGCGTGCCGCGTCCCGCGCGCGGGTATTTGGATTTCTTGGGATTTTGACAGGATGTCTCGAGCGAAACGCTTGTTTTTCATAATTTGTTGAGGATGTCTCGAGCGAAACGCTGGTTTTGCAAAATTGGAGGATGTCTCGAGCGGTGGCCTCGTGGGGGGCCAGAATTCAAAGGATGTCTCAGGCGAAATGCTTGTTTTCACGTCCCGCTCGCAGGAATTCCGAGGATGTCTCGCGCGTGCAGCGTCCCGCGCGTAGGAATTCAGATGATTTTGACAGGATGTCTCGAGCGAAACGCTTGTCCCCAGCACGTTCCGTAGCGCGTCCCCTTGGCAGGTCCCGCGATGCGTCCCCATGGCACGTCCCTTGGCACGTCGCTTGGCGCGTCCCTTGAGACGTTCTGCGTCGCGTCCTCCTGGCATGTTCCCCTGTCCATTAGCTCTGGGGCAGCTACTATGTGTTCAGGCAGCTCGAGCTTAAGATCCAGATCAGTTCGGTCAGGACTCGGATGCAAAGGAGGACTCGATCCACGAGGCTATAGAGCACAATCGCGCCATGGCACATCGCAATTCAGCACGGCGCAGCACAGCACTGATTTCGGCACGGTACATCAAGGTCGATGCACTCAGCATTGCAACTTGGCACGTTCCTTGGCACGTTCCGTGGGGCGTCCTTTGGCGAGTCCCCCTGGCACGTCGCGTCGCGCGTCCCCTGGCACATCCCGTGGCACATCCATTGGCACGTTCCGTAGCGCGTCCCCTTGGCACGTCCCGCGGTGCGACCCCATGGCACGTCCCCTGGCACGTCGCCTGGCGCATCCCTTGGGACGTTTCGCGGCGCGTCCTC